AAATTTAAAAAAATAAAAAAATAACAAAAATAACAAAAATAAATCCAGACCGTTCTTGCTAAGATCTCTGACGTCTGCTTCCTCGTCGGGAACTGACCTGTGCTCCGGAAGTGGCGTTTCTGTCTCGCCACAGAGCTCTGAGCATCATGGAGTTGAAACATAGCAACGTCAGGAAGGGCAGGACAAACGTGACGGCGGGGTTGATCCATTTGTAGTAGACCTCGTTGTAGAAGCGGCCTTGGCCAAAGTCAGTTCTGGGGAGGTCATCGTAAACAACGTCATTCATCACCACGAGCCTACTTTCCCGTTTGAGAATCTGCAACGTTCAGAATCGGCTCTGACGAACATGAAAGATTCTAGGCTACGGAAACAGCGGTGAAAATAAAAAAAGTTAGTACACAATGAATGTACACAATTGTGTACTTACTTATTAAAAAAAAAAGTAAAATAGTAAGTAAGTACACAATGAATATTATGCTATAGTTTCGTTTTTAGTACAGTACAGAGAAACACGTCGACACAGAAACGGTCGGTTAGTGTAAGGGCAGAAAGACATACAGACAGACTGACTGACTGACTGACTGACTGACTGAATGACTGATTGACAGACAGACAGACAGACAGAACGAAAGACAGACAGACAGAACGAAAGACAGACAGACAGACAGACAGACAGACAGACAGACAGACAGACTGACTGACTGACTGACTGAATGAATGACTGATTGACAGACAGACAGACAGACAGACAGACAGACAGACGGACAGACAGACAGACAGACAGAACAAAAGACAGACAGACAGAAAGACAGGCAGACAGACAGACAGACAGACAGACAGACAGACAGACAGACAGACAAGAAGAATAACAATTTATCACCGGCCTGTTCCAAGCACTCACAAGGTGTACAACAAAAATGTGCTTGAGATGAATAGACCTTGTAAAAGTTGGAAGTATATCAATAGTGAGGCTATATTTGAATAAAGCGTGACCAATCTCTGCCTTTTTTGTTTCTGAGTACCTTTCTTATCACACACACACACACACACACACACACACACACACACACACACACACAAAAAA